TTTTCAGCACAACTGTGTCTCCTACTCCTATTCCTAGCAGCGAACTAGTCCTTCCACCAAGGGACTACTTTGGCCCTTCGGACTGCTACAACTTCCCCAAGAACTTCAGCTTCGGAGTTGCTAGTTCTGCAAGTCAAATTGAGGGAGCCACTGCGGAAGAAGGCAAGGCGCCGTCTCTCATGGACATCCTCGTCCAAGATGGCCGTGCGAAGGATTATGTCACGAACGAGCATTATTACTATTATAAGCAAGATATCGAGCGCGTTGCTGCGATGGGTGCTAAGCATTTCTCGTTTAGTATTGCGTGGACGAGAATTCTGCCTTTTGCACTGCCTGGTACACCTGTTAACCAGGAGGGTATTGATCATTATAACGGCGTGATCAATTTCATCCTTGAGAAGGGCATGACTCCTGAGGTCACCCTGCTTCACTTTGACACACCTCTCCAGTTCTATGGCAGCAATCTTACCAAAGCTGCCGATCCGCCTGAGATCGGCTACGTCAACGGAGCCTATCAGAATGAGACTTTCCAAGATGCTTTCGTTCACTACGCAAAGGTTGCTATGGCTCACTACGCTGACCGTGTACCTGTTTGGTTCACCTTCAATGAGCCTCTCCTCTACTCATATAATGCCCTCTCCATCAACAATGTTGTCAAGGCACATGCGCGAGTTTATCACTGGTACAAGGAGGAGCTTGGTGGAAAGGGGAAGATTGCGCTCAAGTTCAACAACAACTTTGGTGTACCCCGGGATCCCAAGAGTGAAGCTGATGTCTACGCTGCGGACCACTTCAACTCTATTCAACTGGGACCGTTCTGTAACCCGATTTTCCTCGGCGAGGACTATCCTGAGTCGTTCAAGAAGACTTTTGATGATTATGTGCCGCTGAGTGAGGATGATCTCAAGTATATTGGCGGTACAGCAGATTTCCTGGGTATTGATCCATACACCGCCACAGTCATCGCACCACCCGTCCCCGATGAAAAAGACAGCGTCCTCGAATGTGCTTCAAACTCCTCCTCAACGTTCCGCCCCTACTGCGTCAACCAAACCACCACAACTGTCAACGGGTGGAACATCGGCTACCGCTCCCAGAGCTACGTGTACATAACGCCAACCTACCTGCGCAGCTACCTCAACTACCTACACAACACATGGAAGACCCCCGTCGCTCTCACAGAATTCGGTTTCCCCGTTTACGCCGAAGCTGATAAGGAACTATCTGACCAGTTGTTTGATACGCCTAGGAGTATTTACTACCTGAGTTTCTTGTCTGAGACGCTAAAGGCGATCTGGGAGGATGGTGTTGAGGTTGTTGGGGCTTATGCGTGGAGCTTTGCGGATAATTGGGAGTTTGGAGACTATGATGCGCACTTTGGGATACAGACTGTTAATAGGACTACACAGGAGAGGAGGTATAAGAAGAGTTTCTTCGATATGGTGGATTTCATGAAGGCTCGGGGTGTGGAGTGAATGAACGTCTTGAGATGAGGACCAGTCAAGATACCATGGTGATCTAAGGGGGAGGCAAAAAAAAAGCTGAAGACCTTTATCCTAAGGAATGAAAAGGCTAAGAAAATCTAGTCTAAAGTTAGGGGAGTCTTTATTGAGTTTATTTTAGCATCCTCTTCTAAAGTTTTATATTTTCTTGCTCCCTGAGAGCTTACCGCACTCTAGGCCCCCTTATCGTCAACCCAGTGTTTGTCTCTCCACGCAGAACAAGAATTGACCTAGTTTGGGTCCCTATCTAGCAACGTAGAGACTGTGGAACGAAGCTGTTGATGCGTCGGTCGTGCGAGGAAGACTCTTGCCCGCCAGCTTCATACCTCGTGTGAGTGAGATGTCTGAAGCACATGGAAAGATAATAATCCTCAGGGGCATACCATGGTTGAACGAGATGTTGCTAGTCTCGTATCATACCTGCTTCAAGTGCTGAGGGTCGATCCCTTCAGTCTCTTCGTACCTTGGATACCCAGGTGTAAAGCCTCACAGAGTTGCCGTGAGGAGTTGCCGTGAACGCTTACTCACCTTGTTGAACTCCATGTGAGTCACGAACAAGTAACATTCTTTCCATACCACTTCATCCTGCTGTGATGAGTCCTACAACCATATCCATGTTCTCTCACCATGACTGCCAAGACACTCTCCTGAACCATCAATTTCCTCAACCCGATTTTCGGCACTCACGGACTCTTCACAACTCCTCATTCGCCACTACACAATCCATCATGATCTATCATCCCTCAAAGCATAGACCACACAAGCATAGATCATATACCGTCCCCAATCCCAACTTACGATAAATTCTCTAGCGTTGCAACGAATGCATGATCCGTGGATCTCCCCAGACGGCTATAACGTAATATTTCCCCAGGATCAACTGGGGCCCCGGATTTCAGCCCAAGTCTTGGCTTTTGAGGGGTATTTGGAGCATCGTTACAGTGGTTAATTTGGTATGCAGTAGTGTTGAGGAGAACGCGCAAGTCTAGACATTCACCTTGATATCTTCTCGGTGTGGACAAGGATGCATAGCTAGTTGACCTTCGCTTGGAGTTTTGAGACATATAAACTGGGCGGCAAGGTCAAAATGTTAGTCATAGTAAGGCATATTTTGATGAGTTTAGTATAGTGTTTGTCTTAAGGTTTTGTTATTTGTTTGTTTTAACGTACGATAATCTTGACGAGGAGCGAGATCTGGCCTCGAATGCTGTGAGGCAGACCCGCAGGGCGTTCAAGATTGACGATAGCTGCAAGGATGTTCGGATCCGATTTGGTTGACGTTGAATGAGCGACTGTGGCACTGTCAATGGCGCCAGCGTAGACATTTGCTCTGAATAAAGTTGTGTTCAGCCATTTGTTGCCCGATTAGCAGAACGCCTATCCTACGCCTTACGAGCGCTTGAGCAGGTGTCAAGTCCTTATCTATGCTTATAATAAACCTTTAATATGTGCAGGATTCAGCCTAAGCTTGTCAGCGTTTGACAGAGCAAAGTGGGTGTGATTGAGCGCCCGAGGCTGGCTTTCACGTTCCGGATCGACAGTGCATCGAGGCGTACACCAAGGCACGATTTCTTCTCTCTCAATCAGCCCTCGTGCAATTAAAACTCATAGTAAAATGTCTCAGCCTCTTCCGAAGCTGAATTTTCATGACACAAAAGTATGTAATAGAATGTTGGTCATCGCCGGGCTAACTAGTTATGTCGAAGCCACACGAATGTTGTTCCCCAAATCATCAGTGCACCATTCATCATCAGCATCATCCATCATCTGTGCTTATTCTATTCCCCGCCAAGTAAAACCGTCTGGACCGTTCAAGAAAAAAGTGCGGAGAGAATCCCTGAACGGCCACAATAGGAAAGTGATTCCCGCTGACGACGGGCTCTCCGCACTCTTGGCTAGGGGCACGAGTTGGGGAATTAGCTAATAATAAGGTAAAAGATATTGTTTTCCCTCATTTAAGCATGCAGTTTAGCTTTAGAGTTGTTTTTTTCTTGGAGTTCTCGTTAGTTGGTTAGATCTAACTAAAAACACTGACTAAAAACCTGCTAAACTAACTTTTACTGGTATCTCTGTGTGCGGAGAATCTCTGTATCCGTATCCCTGCATGGCCCCCGGTTCGAGATAAAGATCATGTGAACGTGATGGTATTACCTATTCAAGGGGTGGACACCAAAAGTACCCACTGAGAGAACAAGCTGTTCAATCAGAGATGGCCTGCAGTGGTCAGAGCCATCCCTGGCTATCTCTCGTCACCCTTGTCCTCATTGTGTTTTCCCCGCAGAGAAACAGACGGCAGATACGGAGTACTGGTAGATAAACAATGGAGCCAAGACCGCAGTAAGACCGGGGGGTGGTCGTGGTTTGGAGAGAGGGAAGAGCCTATCTCTGAAGGGAGCTCAGAAGAGCCTTTATTGACCTTCCTCAAGGGGAGTGGCTTGGTTTGATAGCAGTGGATACAATAGAAATCTCATTAACAAGATCCTCACTGTGACACTCCCGTATTATGGTACTAGGTAACTTGCAGGCAGGCAGCCATTATTGGAGATGTCGTACAGGATCAGGCCTCGGAGCAAAGTGCCTAAGCTTATCTCTTCCCGAGCTTCTAGAAACTACACTACACTACACTACACTACTGCGCCTTTTTCCCTCTCTCGCTCACTTGTCTTGTTCCCTCTCTGTCCCTTTTCAGCCTCGGCGCCATGATCAAGTGCCGGGCCGATCTTTGCTAGTAAGAGATTGGCGTAGCTATAGCGATGAGACAAAACCAACGGCCCAAAAAGAGCCTTCAAATCTGCCCTGCGCCCGATTACCTTACAGTCAATGAGTGACGTGAATTCTAGATTTCTGTGCTGTGCAACAAGAATTACAGTGCAAATGCACAACTGAGGCGAGGCACACACCCAACTCGCCACAATGTTACATGCAAAGAGATAGGATCTGACCCCATTGAGAGAGAACCAGTTGGACCGATGATCTCTGAATTTAAAGCCAACACTAGCTAAGTAAAGCACCCCCGGTTCCCACTTCACACAGACAAAAACACCCCCGTTACGTGATTTGATCTTCACAGGACGGGCGTGCGTGTGTCTGACTCTTGCTCTGTCCGTCTAGGGTTCCATCGAGAGCATTACATGGGCTGCCACTTTGAGCATCGGGTCGTCTTGGCATTTCCCTCTCTACAGTGATTAAATTTGATAGCAGCCTGGTTATTCGTGCGTGGTTGAATCAGAGTAAGAAAGTGTGAGACGTATTCGGTATATAGCTGTGCTCATCCCTCGCCTTCTCATCTCATCTCTTTCTTGTCCCGCCATCCTTTTTTCTTTTTTTTTCGTGCAACGTTGGGGAATCCAACACATACAACATCGCCAAGGTCCTTGGCTTTAAGATCCCCCAAAAGCTTGGTTCTTCTCTGGCAGCTTGGCTTGTTCTCTTACACACTTGGCAGCTTGGCCCTTTATCTCCAAAATATTCTTGGCTTGACTTGATCCAGTCATCACAATGAGCGGGAACGACGTCGAGAAGACGGATCTCGGCTACGATGCCTCTGCAGCTCCCACCAAGGACATTGGCGTCGGCGAGGATCGTCACATTCGCGGTCTCGAGACCAGCGCTGAGACGTCGCTGCACCGAGGTCTCAAGGCCCGTCACATCACCATGATTGCCATTGGTGGTGCGATCGGTACTGGTCTTATCATCGGCACTGGCAAGGCCCTGGCGCAAGCTGGTCCTGGCTCTGTCTTTATCTGTTATACGGTCGTTGGTTTCGTCGTCTTCCTCGTCATGGCTGCGCTTGGTGAGATGGCTGCTTGGCTCCCCATGTCTGCTGGTTTCACTGGTTATGCTTCTCGATTCTGTGACCCTTCTCTTGGTTTTGCGCTTGGTTGGACGTGAGTATTGTGTTTCTGACATGTTGGAGGTCACGCGAGCTAACGGGCTTCAGTTACTGGTTCAAATACATCATCGTTACGCCTAATCAACTCACTGCTGCTGCGTTGGTCATTCAATACTGGGTTGATCGAGACAAGGTCAATCCAGGTGTCTTTATCACCATATTTCTAATCACCATCGTCGTCATCAACTATTTCGGCATTCGATTCTTTGGTGAACTCGAGTTCTGGCTTTCCTCGTTCAAGGTCATCGTCATCATTGGAATCATCCTCTTCTCTCTGGTTCTCGCTCTTGGCGGTGGTCCTGACCATGATCGAAAGGGTTTCCGATACTGGAGCAACCCTGGGTATGTTTATCTCCCCTCTTTGTCTCTGAGCCTCACTAACAGAAACAGCGCCTTCAAGCCGTATATCATGACTGGCGACGCTGGACGATTCCTCGGCTTCTGGTCCTGCATGGTCAACGCTACCTTTGCCTACCTCGGAACTGAGCTCGTCGGTGTAACAGTCGCTGAGGCTCAGAACCCTCGCAAGACCGTGCCCCGCGCCATCAAGCTCACCTTCTACCGAATCCTCTTCTTCTACTGTCTCTCCGTCCTCCTCGTCGGAATGATCGTCCCCTACAACTCTCCGGAGCTTGCCTTTGCCACCAAGGCCCAGGCCGGTGCTTCTGCCTCTCCCTTCGTCGTCGCTGCCGATATCGCTGGTGTCAAGGTCCTCCCTCACATCGTCAACGCTTGTATCTGCGTCTTCGTCTTCTCCGCCTCCAACTCTGATCTGTACATTGCCAGCCGTACCCTCTACGGTCTTGCTTCCGACGGTGCGGCCCCTGCTATCTTCAAGAAGACTGACAAGCACGGTGTTCCCATCTACGCCCTCGCCATGTCTGCTTCGTTCTGTCTCCTGGCCTACATGAACGTTGCCGACGACTCGACCAAGGTTTTCGGTTACTTTGTCAACCTCACCACCATCTTCGGTCTCATGTCCTGGATCTCTATCCTCACAACCCACATCTGGTGGTGCCGCGCCAAGAAGGCTCAAGGTCTTGCCAACGAAGCTCTTCCATACGTCGCCCCCTTCGGCATGTGGGGATCCATCGCTGCTCTCGCCATGTGCATTCTCATCGCCCTCACCAAGAACTACGACGTTTTCGTCAGGGATGCCGACACCGGCAAGATCTTTGGCGGTGAGAAGTACAAGACCTTCATCACTGGTTACCTTGGTATTCCCGTGTACCTGATCCTCATCTTTGGCCACAAGTTCATCACCAAGTCTCGCGGAGTCAAGCCCCATGAGGCCGACTTCTACACCGGAAAGGATGTCATTGATCGTGAGGAGGAGGAGTTCCTGGCTGCTCAGGCCGCTAAGCGCGAGGCCGAGGGTCCCAACCGTGGAGGATGGTTCTACAAGACTTTTGTCTCTTGGTTGTTCTAGATGCGTCCGTTATCGGATGTTTACTGTGTATATGAAGATGCCCGTTCGCGGGTAATGAGCGTATGTAGTCAAGATGAATATTATCTTCCACATTCAACGATTCATGAGCTATGTTTCCAACCTAAAAGTTAACTCCCCGCGTATGCTCAACGGACCTTCAACGATTATACCATTTAGATGTATCTTCACTCGATTCAACTGAACTCGAGCTGTGTGCGACTTCAATTAGAGACACTCCCCGAGGAGGTCGAAGTCCGCGAGATGCATGGAAGTCTCGACGCCACCCGTAGCCCTAATTAAAGCGTACACGGGCGTGCATATCGATGAATTGTAGAGTCACTTTCGTCAGTCCATAGGCAAAGAGCTCGACTGATAGTACTTGAGTGTATAGATGGAAGTCAATCTGATAGTCTAGTCGTTTGTCAGTATTGGCTGTCATAAGTCTTGGCGAGCGTGTCGATAATTCCTACCAACTTCCCCAGAAGTCACCCAATTCTTATCACATGTAGACATCAATACTTCGACCTCACATGTGTAGCTACAAAGTGCGTCGGCATCTTATCGTTATTAGAAGCACATGCTAACATTATCGCCGAAGGAAGGATAATAGCATCATATACTTATTAGACGAGCCGAAATCGCATCATGAGATAGCAGCATCAGGCCATCACTCCATCCATCAGCAACGTAATTTCACCGAGTAATCTCATTGCATGTGCTTAACTCGTCGACGTATTTATTATCTAAAAGTCCAAAAAGTCCAGATATGACGGATTCCTATGATTCAACGGAAACTTGAGATCTCCTTCACTCGATCTCTCTGGGTGGCCTGGTCTGACACCCAACATGCCCCTCCCAAAGGGAACTTGTGTCGTCTGCCCTATCCTGAAAACAATGCCTTTTGATGCAAATGCTTCTTCAAGTTCTTTGATCTGTTCTTTTGGCGGTGCCTCGTAAGGATCTACAGCCACGACACTCAAATTCTGAAATCGATATACCTTCTCCGCCATACCAAGGAGGTCTCGGTGCATCTCTGGCCAAGCCAACACCATCCCTATATGAAGGATCTGCAATGATGAAGGAAGACTCGCCATGAAGATCTCGGGCCCAATATCTTTCATCGCTTCGAATCTTTCCTTTCGCTCTTCTTCATCGTCAAAAACAGGTCCATAAAGGAGAAGTTGTTCAATCTCGAGGATTTCGAGACGGGGAAAGTCGACGAAGCTTGCGTCACCGCGGAGTGATGAGTCCCAGCGCAGAAACGTGGCCACTTGTTCGATAATATCTTGTGCGCCGCCCGATGTGTGCTCCCACGTTGTGCTGGTGTAGCATAAACGTCGTAATGATTGACTAACGGGGGCGAGGTGGTGATGTTGGAGAACGGTGTATTTGTCCATGTCGCAGAAGTATTCGAGGTCTTCGAGAACTGGACTCCGACGAAGGATTTTGGCGAGATTATCGGGGTCAAGGCCGTGGAGTGATAGGCGGCGCAGACTTGCGAGGGCAGTGTCCCATGGTTCTGACCGGAAGCGTTCGCGAAGGGGGATGTCCGTCCCGCAGTCTGCGTCACTGGCTGCCAGCACTTCAAGGTTCTGGGCTTTGGCTAGGACATCCTGCATTTGTTGAATGTGGCAGCATTCGTCAGGATTTTTGCCCTGGCCTGGTAATACCAGATACTTGAGATTTGGTAAGTAGAAAGGGGAGTCTCTTATGTACTGTAGCCCTTCTTGTGATGATCGGTAAATAAGGAGTTGCTCCACGAATGGTGCAGCCATAATTGAAGCTTCTTGCAACCACTTTGAGTCAACATGTTCATATGATGGTAGAGCACGAAAACCAGCGCGCTCACCAGCTTGTCGAAATAGAGCTTGCGTTTCTATGGAGATGTGACGAGCAGTCACTTCTCTCAACGCAAAGAATGCCAAAGCACGAACATGCTTGGCCAAATCAGGCCTCTCAAGAAGAGTACGAAGAAACCCCTCAAGAGTCTCAGCTTCTCGTCTCCTTGCATCAGTATCACCCCACCACTCAGGACTACTCGAAGAATTCGACTGTCGTCCAGAGTGATAACAGTGATACAAGATAGGCTGAGCCGTATTTCGAAAGCGTCGACACGTGCGGCTCAAGCGAGATAAAGCCTGCTGAGCCTCAATGGCGTGGTCGATCTCATCTGGCGGGAGATCGACAACATGTGCATGCTGGCAATGCACACAGAGATTGCGACATATGGCGGTAAAGATCTCGACGGGAAGATCTCCAATGGAAAGCTGCCGTCGCTTCCGCCAAAAGAAAGGAACCTCCGCCTGGAAGATTGGGCTGGGAGACCAGATATTCCCTCCGTGGAGGACATCCCGGTCCATCCTGGCAACGAGATGCATGGTATGGTATGATATGATGATCAAGTTAGGCTGTAAGTCCAGGGACGTGGGTATAAGGCGAGTGTAGGGATGATTGCTGTACAAGCTGGATTCGAACAGCGAAAGTTGGACAGTGATATAAGAACAGCAGAGGCCTTGAAACACGGAATCATGAACAGCGCATGTAGATAAGTACTCCTTCCGCCCCCTCGAGCGGAGAAGGGGTCGAGTGACCTGGAATAGGAGTTGGTTGCTTAGATGCGGATATTGAAAGCGGAGGTATGATCGCGAGAGCATCAACAAGGTATAATAGATCTTACGATGGCGTCGTCAAGGACCAGCCCTGGAGCAGCTGAATTACCAAATCGAATCGCAACTGGGGCCTTGTACAGTAGAAAGGATCGAAGCTAGAGTCCAAGCCAATCGTATCTTGTGTCGCAATCACTCATCCAGCACCCACGGGTCCGTGAGCTGCATGCTTTTCCAGGGATTGAACAGCTAGGGTCATGACAAGTAACGGTGGTTTGAGCTCTTTTTTTCTTGTGTCGTTTGCTTACTGTATGTGAGTCGACCAGGAAGGTAGTAGTTTCGGGCATACGGGACCAGCCAAATGAAGCATCTGATGATGTTGGTCGGGGCAGAGCATGGTCTGTGTTGACGAGTTGAGGAAAGGATGAAAAGAGAAGGAGAGAAATGTGAGAGAAATGTAGAGTCGCCGTGGACTGAAACATATAAAAAGCAAATATATCTCGATATCCCCTTGCATCGTGAATACTACAGTACTACCAAAGGAAAAAGAAAAGAAAGGACAGGATGCTGTGCCACGTTGTTTGGATCAACTCTACAGTACAAGGTCGAGATCGCGAGTCTCAGGACGCACGCACGCACGAGCAGCAGCAGGTGGGCCAAACCAAGAATCTCCACATGCCGCTGATGATAATGGCCTCATTCTTGATCAGCCAAGCTTTTCCAATTAACAACCGTGCATCTCGTACCTCACCCTATCAATCTCCCTCACCATGTAAGGTGGACTTTCGCGTATCGAGGCGCAGAAACAGCAATGACAATGTTACAGTGAGAAACCCAACGCCCGTTTATCTCCATGCAGCTAAACGTGTGATGGTGACATCGCCTGTGGGAAACTTTCAGGAACAGGGACGGGCCATGGAGTCTAGTGCGGAACGAGACCGAGGGCCTTGTGTTAGTGCTGAGATGATGGGTCGAAACGTGGTCTGATGTTGGGCAAATAGTCTTTCATCACCTGTAGAGTCAATTAATCACTGACTCGTGTGCTGCAAGATCCCGCTGCCATTCAACGGCTGGCGTCAGAGTTTAGAGCCCGCATTCTTTGCTTTTTGCTTTTCTGGAATTGTTTTGACAGCTTGGAAAAGATGATCAATCACTTTTTGGGATCATGGCCATTCATTGTGAAGCTGTGAGCTGGAGGTGGAGGTGTAAAGCTGATGTGCACGTGACCTCGCATTGGGGCGCGTCACCTTCCCAGCTACTGCTCGCGTCTCACTGACAGCCCGCGTAAAGCACACCCAATTCATCCACACCCACACACGTCACAGCTCGAGTGTGTTACACAAATCGTAAGCTGCACAAGATGCCCGAGTTCACCGGTGAGCCTCTATTTTAGTGCAGTATTACTACTGCTCTTGCTAACGACCGTAGAGGCGGATACCATTCGTATCCTCGTTGCGACCGACAATCATGTCGGTTATGAAGAGCGAGACCCCATTCGTAGGGATGACAGTTGGAGAACTTTCGATGAAATTTTGAACCTTGCCCGGACTGAAGATGTACGATCCATCGTCGTTAGTATCGGTCATATCTTCTAACATGATAGGTTGACATGGTTCTCCTCGCTGGCGATCTCTTTCACGACAACAAACCATCCCGAAAGTCCCTTTACCAAGTCATGCGAACACTCCGACAAAACTGCTTGGGCATGAAACCCTGTCCTCTCGAATTCCTCTCCGATGCTGCATCTGTATTCGAAGGTGCCTTCACGCATGTCAACTACGAAGATCCCGATATCAACATTTCCATCCCCGTCTTTTCGATCCATGGCAATCATGATGACCCTTCTGGAGAAGGCAACTTTTGCTCTCTTGATCTTTTGCAAGCAAGCGGGCTGCTCAATTACTACGGCCGTGTCCCCGAGGCAGACAACATCGAGGCCAAGCCGATTCTTCTACAGAAGGGTCTTACAAAGCTTGCCTTGTTTGGATTAAGCAATGTTCGAGATGAGCGAATGTTCCGTACTTTCCGAGACCATAAAGTCAAGTGGTTTCGCCCTGAAACCCAGATGACTGACTGGTTCAACTTGTTGGCTGTTCACCAAAATCACCATGCGCATACAGCCACGTCCTACCTCCCCGAGAATGTCTTGCCCGATTGGCTTGACCTTGTAGTCTGGGGTCACGAGCACGAATGTTTGATCGACCCTACACAGAACCCCGAAACAGGCTTTCATGTCATGCAGCCCGGCTCATCTGTCGCAACTTCACTGGTGCCTGGTGAGGCGGTTCAGAAGCACGTTGCTATTGTGAGCGTGACCGGCAAAGACTTCAAGGTTGACAAGCTACCACTCAAGAGTGTGCGTCCCTTTGTCACACGGGAAGTCATACTTTCGCAAGACAAGCGTTTCAATGGACTAGACAAGAAGAAGGACAACCGTCAGGAAGTCACACGAAGATTAATGGAGGTGGTTGAGGAGATGATTGAGGAGGCCAATGCAGACTGGGAAGCCATTCAGACGGATGAAGAGGCTCTAGAAGAACGACCTCTTCCACTGATTCGTCTGAAAGTGGAGTACACAGCTACGGAAGGCGGTCAGTTTGAGGTTGAGAATCCCCAGAGGTTCTCAAATCGATTTGTTGGTAAAGTAGCCAACACAAACGATGTTGTCTACTTTTACCGCAAAAAGACATCACAGCGTAAGTCAATGTCGCAACTTGATAGACATTCCACTGACAACATGCAGGCAAGGCAAATGCTGCGAACCCAACAGCAGCAATTGAGGCCCTCGATGGTGCTGATGACATGGTCAAGGTGGAGAATCTGGTGCAAGACTTTCTGTCGGCGCAATCACTCAAGGTCCTTCCTCAAGGGCCTTTTGGTGATGCTGTCACTCAATTCGTGACAAAGGATGACAAGCACGCGATGGAGCTGTTTGTTTCAGAACATCTAACGGGACAAGTCCGATCTATGCTGGGCTTAGAGTCGGATGACGAAGATCTCAACAGTGCCATGGATATCTATCGAATGAGGATCGAGCAGCAGCAAGCTAGCGGCATGCAGACAGCCCGAGCGGAGAGAAAGCGAGTTCTCAAGCCAAAGCCAGCGACTTGGGACAGTGACTTTGATGGCAGCTGGGAGAATGAGCCAGATGCCTGGACATACGAGGATGAACAACAGGCCGAGACATCTTCACGCGCATCTGCACCCGCGCCTGCACCAGCACGCAAACCTGCACGTGGACGAGCCAAGGCAACTCAGCAAGACGATGAAATGGACTTGATGGACGATGATGAGCCACCCCCTGCACCCACCAAGAAACCAGCAGCCAAGCGAGCAACACGCGCCACAAAAGCAGCACCAGCCAAAAAGGCTCCCGCAAAGGGACGAGGCCGCAAGGCATTCGAAGACAGTGACGACGAGGAAGAAGACGTGATTATGGAGTCAGAAGAAGAGCCTGCACCTCCTCCATCAAAGACACGGCGAACAGCTGCGAAGAGCACCGCCAAGGCTCCAGCGACTCGAGGAGCGGCCAAGAGTACACGGCAGACAAAGTTGAACTTTTCCCAGTCCCAGAAGGGCGGGACGCAGAGTAAGGCTGTTGAGATTAGCGATGATGAGATTTCGGATGATGATGCGTTTGAGCCTGCGCCTCCGACGACACGGAGTACGAGGAGGAGATAGAGCGTGGAAGAATACCCTGCATGTGAGAAAAGTATAAAGAGTTATGATGAATTGAGCATACTGTCACAGTTACAGCACACGATACTTGACGTTCGTATTCTTCGGAGTGGTATGACTTAGAGGCCTGCGATATCTACCGGGCAACTGCTGTCTTTCAAGGCGATGACCTTCACCTTGACGGCATTCATAAAGTTTCACTCCATGTCCAATGCATATCGCTTGTGCTTGACCATGTCTCACAACGATACTCCTCATAAGAGCAGCATGACGGGTCTCAACCTTCCACATCAGCTAGAACAGTGACTAACTCCTATCCCCATTATCAATTAGACTCATCACCACAACTTCTATCCACAGTTCAAGTCACATCTCATCCGACATCGCCTCCCACTTCGGGTCCGAAGTCCGAAGTCATGATGCCGCAGCGGGCCGCATATCTCCATGTCTATGCGGGGTAGCTTCAAAGATGGTCTAGCTCCCAACCTCTCACTCAGCTTAGATGAACCTTTACAGACCCAGTGACAGTTTATCTTACAGACCAATGCTGGAAGAAGCGCCGAGGCATCCACTGGGCAAAAGCATTGAAAACATTTAATACTGTGTAGATTAGAAATGGGCTGGCTTGGTTTAGTTGCCCCGCTCGTTGCTGAGCATGCCATCCTCACCTGATCTATATAACCACTCCTCTACCCCGACTCTAGCTGTATCTTTCTGTGTTTCTACTCATGTCTACGTGATTCAAAATGGCTGCAGCTGGTCATATCCGTCTCGGTACCGCCTCCCCAGGCACCCAATCCTCCACGGCCTCTACAATCGCCCTCATCGACACCCTCGCCCAGCGCGCATCCTCATCACACATCGACATCCTCCTGCTCCCCGAGGCCTTCATCGGCGGGTATCCCCGCGGCAGTTCCTTTGGTTGTGAGATTGGTAATCGCAGTGCAGAAGGACGCGATGAATTCGCTCGTTACTTCGATTCTGCCATTGATCTTGGGGATACCGTTGGGCCTGGCGGTGGTGGTGCGGGGGTGAAGTGGGTGAAGAGACAGCTTGGTGAGGAGGATGAAGTCCGTGGTGATGGCTCGCGTGAGGAGTTGGAGCGCATTGCGAGGGATACGGGTGTTTTTATCGTGGTGGGGTGCATTGAGAAGGCGGGTGGGAGCTTGTATTGCTCTGTTGTTTATGTCTGCCCCAAGGAGGGTATGCTTGGGAAGCGTCGCAAAGTCCTCCCTGTAAGATCCCCTCCTCCTCTTCTACTCCATCATAATATAGAAGTGAACTAACGGTTATAGACTGGCTCTGAGCGCCTCATCTGGGCTCAAGGCTCGCCTAGCACCCTCCGCGCCGTAACAACCACCATCCGCGGCATACGCATCAACCTCGCCGCTGCAATCTGCTGGGAGAACTACATGCCCCTGCTTCGCCAATCACTCTACGCTCAGAACATCAATCTCTACCTTGCGCCTACAGCTGATAACCGCGATGCATGGCTCGGACTCATGCGAACAGTTGGTGTCGAGGGACGCTGTTTTGTCGTCAGCAGCAACATGTGCATTCCCAAGAGCACTTCCTCTGAAACAAACGGTGTGAGACAGCGTCGTGGATCGTGCATGACAGAAGAAGGCTTTGAGATTGCGCTGCCGAAATCGCCGAGTCGAAGAAGACGCAAGTCTGTGTTCGACGAGGATGGGAATGAGATTGTTCTCGGTTGTGATGATGACGGTACGAATATGCAACCTCCTCCTGCAAAGAGCGCTGTATCTTCTGCAAAAGCAGAGTTTCTATCGCGCGGTGGTTCATCGATTGTCTCGCCGTTTGGAGACGTCATTGCTGGACCGCAGTGGGAGGATCCAGATGGTTTGATCTTTGCGGATGTTGATTTCCGTGATTGTATCAGGGGTCGTCTTGATCTTGATGCTGCGGGGAGTTATTCGCGAAACGATGCGTTCAAGTTTAGTGTTGAGGGGTTGAACTTGGATCCTCTTCCTTATTGAGTATGGAAATAGTGTATCAGATTGTAATGATAACGCCTGCTTATGCTATGCTATGATGTGTTGTGTCATGCCTTCTATAGGTATTCCTACGCCTCGCTGTTTGAAATGACATTAAGTTACTTGGATTCATCACTGGGTGGTTCTCTTTGTCTCTGTTCCTCCAGCACCTTGCGCTCAGAATCAACCTCCTTTCTCTGCCTTTCAAGGGCCGCTTGGGCGAGTACCTCTCGTCTACTCATCCCAGCAGTGGAATTGTTCTTAACCCCTCCCAGGACAAATTCACCACCTGTCCAACCTCCAAAATCCTCAGGATAATCCTCCTCTTCCTCACCATGTCCAGAAACAGTATATCGCGATGTTTCGCCAATCGTATGTCCGCCTGATTTCCAATCGGCTGCGTCAACTTCTCGTTCAATCTGATGACACAAGTCCCAGAAGTTTCTATCGTGTGGACTATGAACATTATGCGCCAGTTCGTGGCACAATGTCTTGCGAATGGTTTTGTAATCGCGATATCCATCGTGCGCATCTGTTCGTAATCGCAGTTCAATGACCTCGCCTTGATTGCGATTCAATCCCAGAATGCGACTTGTTCCCTCGTGCGTTGTCTGCGTATGCGAAAGAGGTTCCATCTCTGTAAGCAGACCAACAGCGAATTTATGCTTTGTCATGGCAGCGCGAATACCAGGGTCTTCCTTCAATCGCAGAAGAAGTTTCAGACTGCGATCTGGGTTCGGAAGGCCTTGCAGCGGTCGTACTTGAAGAAATGTATATTGCGAGTCTTGTGGATTTCGTCGCGTCGTCGTCGCATGCCGTGCTTTACTCCTCTGCGCCATCCTCGCAGCATTGCGCTTCGCAACGCGCTCAGCCATATCCTGCACCTGCTGGATCTCCGCAGCGCCAGAGCCCATGAGCGTCAGATGCTTGCCCTTGAGGTCGAGGAGGGGCATGTCGGGGTTCTTGAAGGGTGCTTTGAGGAGGGGAGTCTTTGGGGCGATGATCTTTTGGTTTGCGACGGGGATGTCGAGACTCGCTTCGATCTCATTAAACAAATCTGTGATGGTCGCATCTTCGGGGAATGATAGTTCGTAGGTTGTTTTTCGGTGTGTGATTGATAGTGTGAGCCAGGACTGCTCGCTGTCGGACATGGGAGAGTCTGCCATGTTTGTACAGCAGCGGAGTGGCGATGGATTCGTTGGAGACGTTATTTTCACGGTTGTTAGGAGAAGTAGCTAAGTGTGAGTTTGTGTTTGCGATTTTATGGTAATGACGTGATGGGAAAAGATAAGATTGAATGGGGAGATATTGTTTTATAGGTGTAGAGTTGGTAAGCAAGAGGGCGATTGTTTGTGTCGCGTAGATTAAGTGAGTGATGCTATCGTGTTCGGGCACTTTCGGCGTCTGCTTTGTAATACGTCACTTGCACTGCCTGCTCGGGCGCCACCATCTAAGCAGGCCTAAGCAGATCTAATTCTAAGGCACTGAAGAATTTACAGTGATGATTATACCATCGGAAATAGCGAATACGGGATTCTTGGCGAGTACCGATAAGTCCGGCTTGAACATAATTAGAATTGAAGTTGTTAAATCATGGAAAGAGATTGAGCGTGGCGATGGTTCTCGTTGAGATGATTATGGGATGCCTCAATTGGTAATGAATGGAAATGTCTCTGAGGTTCTGCAGCACAACACAACCACTGTAGTCATTCCAATGTCAATGTGTAACAAGACCAATAAAATCACTCAATTGAACACCCGTGTTTATTAAAACACTGATTCCGTATTCGCATCTCGAAATCATCGACAGATCACATCGGTCAGCTACCCTAAATCAGCCGGCCCCGTAATACCCTCTCGTACGAGTGCCACTATATGATAACAGTGTCACCATATGATAACGACGATCTTATCACTCCCGTCCCATCACGAGATCCATTCCGTTGGTTCGCTTCAGAAGCACGAACCCGAAACCCAAAAGCTTGGATCCGTTCGTTTCCGTTCCCGTGTGTGCCACCCGAGCCTCATCACCAGCCTCAGCCTCATCGCCATCATCGCTTGCGGTAGATCTCCCGCTTGCAACGACACTATCGATGAAAAAACCGTTGAGATCTTAACACGATCGACCTAAGACTTTAGCTTCTTGTGGCTTATAACCGAGATGTGAACTATTACCGACTACACTTCATACAAATAATGAGATGTGATGTGTAGAACTAGATCATGTTATCACCCGCGAGTGTCACGTATCACATAATTCTGAGAAACATGTAACAAGCTAAAACCCAATTTCAACTCTTTATTTACTCCTACTATACAGAGTACACATAAACAAAAAAAGTAAACGAAGTCGTAAACTTCATGCCCCCGAAAAAACGCCGCTAGATATAAGACGGGGAAAAAACATCGTTCGTCGTAGTCGTCACCGAAATTAAACAATAAGTATTTCTTGTCGTTTTTTTATACTTATGCTCCTTCCCTGCAAAATTACATGTCACTATTGGCTATGCACTTGTCAGATGAGAAAGGCGGACAAAAAAGATAGAAAGGGTCCGCGACATAAGGGGGAGGAAGGGGGTCAAAAACTTACAGTAGTGCCAGTGTGAGATCACCGTGGATTCTAGCCTTGAGCTCGATTTCGATCTCGAGGTTAAGCTCGAGATGCAAGCTGAGGGCGTCACTCTTACCGCCGCCTCCCTGCTGCTGCTGCTGTTGCATCTGTTGCTGTTGCTGTTGTTGCTGCTGTTGCTGTTGCATCTGCTGCTGTTGGCGCTGCTGCTGCAACTGCTGGTCTTGCTTCGAAAACTGTTTGCGGCCCTCATCGTCAGATTCTTCGTCGAGCCATGCGGGGCGTCGACGTCTTACATCGGCGGCCTTTGCGTTCCCGCGTCTTCCGCCCTTGCGGCCTGGCTCAGCCTGCTGGGGAGGTGTGGCGGGCTCGTTCTCCTCTTCGGACTCGGACTCTGACTCGTCGTCTTCGGAATCTTCCTCCGAGTCTTCTTCGGAGTCATCTTCAGAGTCAAAGTCATCGTCGTCGTCGTCTTCAGAGTCGTCCTCGGACTCGCTCTCCTCCTTGACGGGCTGGCGCTTCTGCTTGGGCTTGGCCTCTTGAGCGGTCTTTTGGGCCTCAGCCTTTGCTTGCTCTGGCTCGGAGTCGGCCTCGTCCTCCTCTTTCTTTACTTCCTCGGGCTTCTTGTCGTCTGCCTTGGCCTCTTCAGGCTTTGAGTCCTCGGGCTTAGATTCCTCTGGCTTGGAGTCATCAGGCTTTGACTCTTCAGCCTTGGGCTCTTCGGGCTTGTCCTGACCAGGTTGCTCAGGCTTGCCCTCCTTGTCGCCGGGTGTCTCAGCCTTTGCGTTCTCGGTGTCGGGCTTAGACTCGTCCTTAGCATCGTCAGGCTTGGACTCAGACTCTTGACCTGGCTGTTGCTGTTGCTGTTGAGCCTCTTGTCCCAGGCCCTGGTTCTGATTCTGATCCTCTTGCTGACCCTCGTTCTGGTTTTGGTTGAAAGGGTTGCTATCGTTACCCTGCTCCTGCTGGTTCTGGCCCTGACCAGGAGACTGAGGAGCCTGAGATTCGTCTCGCTTCTGCGAGTCCTAAAGGAATTTAATTCCCGATCAGAGGATACAAACTCACAATACAACTTACCTGCTGAGATGGAGAAGACATGGTTGTGTATGCTGGTATTTACTTCGCTGAATGAACAATGGGGTTTCCAAAAAATAAACAATGGCTTATTGCTTCGCTGCTGACATGTAATAATTAAGTTGAAGTTTTTCTACACTAAAGTTCCAAGCATGGTTTTTGAGATTAATACGTGTCGAGTCCGAAACCTGTTGAAGAAGCTTGACTGACGCAATAAGTGTCATTGTATCCCGACCTCGAGCCCTCGAAGAACCGGTTTCTATGGTTGCGATGGGATTGGAAACGAATTTCGACGTGACAGGTCAAAGTGACGTAAAAAATGGCATCCCAATCCTGGGCATATGACGTTACCCTCCCTCTACCCTACCCCAGCTTGCTTGGTCTGATGGGGGTGGGAGTGGGAGTGCAGAGAGGGTTGCAGGGATCAGGATTATATGCGTGTGGCTGGTGTTTAGAGAAATGTATGGGTCAAGATCCTACAAAGTGGACTGGACGTCATGCAGTGAAGATGAGCGAGACTTGCTGCTGTCAAACATACTACCCTTTCACAATACGATACGCGGCAAAAGAAAAAAACAGATCAGGAAAACATGGTTATCGGATTACTTGCCATCGCGGCTATCCCGACCGTTACAGGCGTGGGTAATGCCGTGAGTGCGCAGAAGAGACAGAATGAGAGCATGAGCAAGGAACAAGAAAAGTTCCACCTCACATTCATGCTACAACAGAATGGAAAGACAGAAGAGGTTGGCCAAGGAGTTTTGGTGGACAAGAAGGTGAGTTCCCTTCGTCTCTCGTCACTAGACACATACTCACAAGTTCAGATGTATCTCAACCTCTCAGATGCCCCCGTGCAAGGCTACAGATTTCTAGGCTGGTATTTCAAGTATCCCAGCGAGGAAGGGCACCTGGGGCTGGTGAGCATGGTGTCCGACGACCCGCCAGCGCTGAACTGGATATTCGTGGACAAGGACACGCACATGGTGACCTTTGGGGGCAAGAAGGACACCATCGGGCACGTCATAGGACCCTGGGGCTGGACAGCAGATGAGCGCTTCCTGACGCTCCAGGGAGATCATGATTCGTTTGTGGCGGTGCGGGACGAGCATGGGAAATGGGCTGTATATTGGGACCCGGAGGGTGATATCGAGGACGAGATTGACGATGAGGAGAGATGTCAGCCAGTGAGACTGAGGAGAAGACCGCAGCTCGGCATGGAAAGCAGTTATGTCAAGAAATAGCATGATATGACTGGGGGACACTAATGAAGCGAATGTCTGGGGCAGACCGTTAATGGCCGTTGGAGACAGAAAGTTGTAGTGGAGGGGTCAAGTCACATAAAGTGGGTTGGCATGAGCAGGGTATTTTACTGGATTCTCATCTCGATCATGACCTCATGGGCCTCTAAATCCTGTTATGAGTTTCTGCGTAGTTTCAAACTTATATCACGTCCCTTTCTTAAAGTTACCTTAATTTCTCCAAACCCGTACTTTTTTAGTGAGATATCCAAACCATACTAATCCACTTACACCACATCAACACTCATAACCGCCAACTCATCTTTAAGCAAGCGACTCTTCTAATTCATCATCATGTCTTCCATGGAAAAGGACCGCATCGAGTCTGACGACCAGACCATGTCCTCCGAAGAAGCGCCCCGACGAGAGCGCCGCAGCAAGAAGAAGGGCAGCAAGCGTCGCCAGCAAGCACCACCCCAACAGCAGCAGCAGCAAGGAGGAGGTTCAGGACCTCTCGACCAGCTGCCTCTCGCCGGAGACCTGGGCAACACAGTCGGCGGCGTCACAGACGGCGTGACCAACACCCTAGGCGGCGTGACGGGCGGTCTGGGCGGTCTCACGGGCGGTCAGCAGCAGGGCGGCGGTGGTGATGCTGGTAAAGACACGCTGCGACTGCGCCTGGATCTCAACCTCGACATTGAGATCCAGCTCAAGGCTCGTATCCACGGTGATCTCGAGCTCTCTCTACTGTACGTGATGCACCCCTCAATTCTTTTGTTTAACCTCCCTGTGGCCGTCGTATCTTACTTGGCTTGCAAATCTCCAGAACGGGATAGACGCCGCCTTGATGACAAGCAGAGGCTAATTATTGCTTTGCGCTGTGCAGAAACTAGAAGAGATTGGCACTATTGTCTATGTTTGGCTTTGGCTTTGGCTTTGTTCTGTTCATGTCATGATGGGACCCATGTAATGTTACTGTTAGTACGACAGCACTACGACGATCTGTGGCGGCGCAACATGGTGTTTATTAATGATGATTTACTACTGCTGTTTCTGGGAGGGATAAATACAACAACACTACAACGTTATATACTACATGAATCCAAAAGCATTCACTCTCTATTACTCCGCCAGTCTCTGCCTATGTGAACACCGTATAATAGTAGATATTCACAGTCCTCACACTGAGTGAGAAAAGAGTGACGAAAAATGAACGAACATGACAAGACAGTCTGCAAATTCCCCGAGACTAACCAAAACGTCAGATTGCATCAAACGACAAGGATGTAGTTGGCAGCTAGCAAGCCACACACGATAATGCCACGCAAGCCACCTCCAACACCATCTTCTTCAAGTCTAGCCCAACCGTTCCAGCCAGGAACCAGCTTCTGAGAAAGCTTGGTCCAGAGTGGAAGCAGGGACTAGGTTTTGTGACAGCTCCCACCAATCATTTGACTTGAATCAACAAAAAACCAGGGTTCACCTTTTTAGCTGTCCTGTCTCATCTTGCTCACATCCCTGCTAGTCTCTTGTTCCCGGGTGGCCCGCGATCGTGATGAGCGCGGACGATCAGAGAAACTCGACCAGAATATTTCCAGAGTTACATCTTGTTTTTTTTCACCTTGGTAGAGTCTCAAAAATGCGGCTCTCATCTGTTACAGCTAGGTAGTTAGTTAGACACAGGGGTTCAATCCGATATACTTTGCACTAAAGAAATAGGAGGCGTTGCCCGTTTCTTTTCTTCTGACTCTCACTGCAACTAATAAATTCACACAGCACTAACAAAAGGTCAAGCCCCATGTTCCAAGTTTCATGCATGAAAGAGGCTGTCGTCATGTCCCCGCACAAACCAAGCTCTACCAGCCACACGTCAACATCAAAGCAGCCCTTTTGGCACGGCGCTGGCATCAGGTCTGCACTCTCCTCTGCCATCTCCATATTCCAGCCTGGAACCTCGAGACCCAGCAGCAGACCCCCTAAACAGGTCCAGGATCAGCAGCAGCCGCATCAGCAGAAAAAACTCCAGCCTCACCTCGAGGATCATCAGCCTCAGGAACAAACTGATCCCATCCCAATCCCAATGTCTTCCTCTTCACCCACCCCTGATGGCGATCCTACGCACAGCACTTACGAGGTCAATGTTCCCGTCCGCAATGGACGAACATCCGAACCAAAAGTTGCAAACCCAGAGATTCGCATACCAAGGATAAAGCCAGTATCAGAGAGCACAGACCAAACAGACTCAGACTCAAAAACACAATCACAACCGCAATCACCTGAAAAATTAGCTACTGGCCTAGACGGCAAATACATCGATGAGTTTGGCAACATTCTAGACTGGGACGGTACTGTCCTCGGTCGTGTAGAAGGCGATCTCCCGTCCATGGTAGGACGGCCAGTCATGCCGAATGGACAGGTCCTCGACGAGGACGGCGAAGTGGCCGGTCACGTCTGCGAGAACTACATCAAGCCTGCCCTCAAGCCACTTGCAGCAGGTGGACTAAAAGTCGATGATGAGGGAAACATCTATGATGACCAGGGCAACAGGATTGGCAAGCTCGACAAGCCGATGCCGTCCCAGGACGGAGCCGACAAACTTTCCGAGAACAAGGACAAGGAGAGGGAGCAGGCCCAGGGTACTAACAATGCAAATGCAAATGCGAACGCTCCAAAGCCACCGGGTGCTCCAAGGCCTGACGAGCTGTTCCTGGACGTCAAGTCCACCTATGATGGTATTCAGCTCATCATCAAGATTCCGACCGTCTTCAATAGGAACCTTGTAACTGAGACAAAGAGCAGTGGTAGTCAGACTGAGACAACTGATAGCGATAATCGATAATTTTTTTCTTGGTGCGTTTCACAATTATCCGACCTTGTCCATAAACACCCCCATGCATAATTTGAACTACCTACACTCGTGTAAGGCAAAGTAAGGTAAGGTAAGGTGTAAGCCAAGCCAACCAAGGCAAGGCAAGCAAGCATATGCATCCCATTCGTATGAGTGAAAGTGGACAATAAACGCCCCTCCACACCTCGGAATAAGTAAACCTCATGGGGTAACCCCTCCCCGTCACGCTAGATTAGTTCATCATTCTCTCACTCTTGCTAACACATTTGCCATCTCAAAGTTCCAGTTGGAGCCTCAGAAACCCGGTTGTCTTCTCTCTTTTTTTCTTTTGAGGCTACCGCTACTGCAACACGCAACCCCTTCTTCTAGATCCCCCCTCAACTTCAATAGACAGACCCAGTTTCTCATCTCGATCCATACCCTGAATGTGCAAGCTCCGTCTCGTAGATGGTGTGCATCCTCCACCCCGCAAGCCTGTTTTCACAACCGCTGGACATTCTCGTCGGCAAGGTAGTGCAAGCCTCATCCTGGGAGGACACTTACACGGCACCTCTGCGTCTAGAGCTCTCTCCCCCCATTGCTCATTGTGTAACATATCCATGTTAGGAGAGCTCCTTATAACGTCATCCAACAGCTCTCGCCACACCCTCCCCGCGCTTAGATCTTCATCATGACGTGTGGCTGTTGCAGCTTTGCTCGTCCGATAGCAAGGTGCGGCGCAGTATCATGGCTAGAAAGCCAAAAGTTGGGCTCACACTGACGTTGTGACTTTTTGAATTGACGTGATCGAAATCGAGAATGGCCTGGTCCTGCAGTAAAACTTGTTTTGTATATGCCGTGTGGTCGGTATAAGTAGTTGAAGATGTGGTGGTGGTTGCGGTTTCGACAAAAGTATCAATTCATTCCATTCTTGGCCAACTTGCGAAGCGATACCCAAAACAACAACAACAATAACAATAATCATTCCCAACTAACACAACGATACCCCATTAATCCTCTCTTATCTGAAAGATACCCTTTTCTCGATCTTGAAGGAGTTGAACCAGTCCAAAACCATCACAACAACAACAACATCATGGCAGACCTCTCCTCCCAGGTTCAAGACACAACAAAAGATACTGCCTCTTCCAAAGAGCAGGAATCCCCTGGTGCGTTCAATAGTCCTTCACCAAGTTTGGCGCTTATCGTCCCCATTGCAGTCAATCTTGAGTCAGTCCCCAGGAGCGGTGCTGGCGTCGTGAATGATTCCGGAGATGTCTTAGATGACGCCGGAAAGACCGTTGGCAAGATCGCCGACACCGATAACCTCCAGAACCTCGTTGGTAACACCGTCAACCAAGCCGGTGATGTTGTCAGCTCCTCGGGCGATGTCCTCGGCAAGACCCTGCCCATAGGACAAGGCAAGCCCGAGGAGGAAGAGGACTCGCACGACGAGGAGAAGAGCGAATACACAACCCAGTCCAAAGAGAAGAAGTCTGGTGGTCTGGGAAGCGCCGTCGGTAGCGTTACCGGCACCATTGGAAAGGCTGTTGGAGGAGCCACGGGAGCTGTTGGCGACACAGCGAAGGGTGCCACAGATACCGTCGGCGACACAGCAAAGGGAGCTACAGACACCGTTGGCCTCGGCGACACAACAAAGGGCGCTACAGACGCCGTTGGCGATACAGCGAAAGGTGCCACGGATACTGTTGGCGGCACCGCAGAGGGCGTCACAGACACCGTTGGTGATGCCACTGAGGGCATTGCCAATAAGTCAGAAGCCACCTCCCAAGCTACCGACACAAAGACACCAGCCGAGACTCCCGGAGCCCCAGAAGTCAAGGACGAGACACCCGATGTCAAGTCTGAGGACCAAGACCAGAAGGACATCAGCCTCGAGGACCGCGACACTTCTGAAGCTGGAGAAAAGCTGAAGGATATCCCCCCAGAGTCCGAGGAGGCAAAGGAGGCAAAGGAGGCAACTGACAAGGCAGAGGAGACTGCTGAGGGTGTTCCTGAACAAGCTAAGGATATCCCTGAGGAGGCCAAGGAGGATGTTGCCTCCAAGGTCGACGAGCAAGATGTTCCTAAGCCTGAGGATGTCGAGGAGAAGCTTCAAGAGAAGACTGAGGGTGCCCAAGACGAGGTTCCCAAGTCTGAAGTTCCCGACAAGTCTGAGGCTGCCGACGAGATCCCCAGCGGCGATGCCCCTGGTGATGACGGTGACAAGTCCAAGGCTGGTGATGACCTGAAGTCTGTCGCTCCCGGCGAGGAGGCTGCTGGTGTCACCGATGAGGTCCAGGACAAGGCTGCCGAAGGCGAGGAAGCCGCTAAGGATCTTCCTGAGGATGCCCAAAGCAAGGCCGCTGAAGGTCAAGAAGCTGCTAAGGGCAAGGTTGCTGAGGGGGAGGAAGCGGCTGGTGACCTCCCCGAGGATGCCAAGAGTAAGGCTGCCGAGGGTGAAGAGACTGCTGAAGGCCAAGTCGCTGAAGGTGAGGAAGTCGCTAAGGATCTGCCCGAAGACGCCCAGAGCAAGGCCGCTGAAGGCGAGGAGACCGCCGAAGGCAAGGTTGCTGAGGGCGAGGAAGTCGCTGGCGATGCTACCGAGGAGGCCAAGGACAAGGCCGCCGAGGGTGAAGAGGCCGTTGAGGAGAAGGCTGCTGAGGGTGAGGAGGCTGCCAAGGAGCTCGACTTCTCTATTCTCAAGGGTACCACTGTCGACAAGGAGGGCAACCTGGTCAACGAGAAGGGCGACAAGCTCGGCAAGGTTGTCGAGGGTGAGCTCAAGCAGCTCATCGGTCTCAGCAGTGACGACCAAGGTATCATCTGGGACAAGACCGGCAAGCAGCTCGGAAAGGCTGAGCCCATCCCCGAGTGGGACCGCGAGCAGCTTGACTTCTCCGTTCTCAAGGGTACCACCGTCGACAAGGAGGGTAACCTCGTCAACGACAAGGGCCACCTCATCGGCAAGGTCACCGAGGGCGAGATCAAGCAACTCATTGGCCTCACTTCTGATGAGCAGGGCACCATTTGGGACAGGACTGGCAAGAAGGTCGGAAAGGCCGAGCCTCTTCCTGAGTGGGAGCGTGGTGAGCAGAAGGATTACAGCATCCTAAAGGGCACCACTGTTGACAAGAACGGAAACCTCGTCAACGAGAAGGGCCACCTCTTCGGTAAGGTCGTTGAGGGCGAGATCAAGCAGCTCATCGGCTTGGCTTCTGATGATCAGGGTACCATCTGGGACAAGACTGGTAAGGCCGTTGGTAAGGCTGAGCCTCTTCCCGAATGGGAGCGTGGTGAGCAGAAGGACTTCTCTATCCTCAAGGGAGCTGTTGTCGACAAGGAGGGTGGTCTCACAAACGACAAGGGAGACACCATCGGCAAGGTCACTGAGGGTGAGGTCCGACAGCTCGTTGGCCTCAAGTCTGACGAGAACGGCAAGATCTGGAGAGACGGCAAGGTCGTCGGCCAGGCTGAGCCTCTCGCTGAGTGGGACCGCGTCCAGAAGAAGGACCGCTCCATCCTCAAGGGCGCCAAGGTCAACAAGGTCGGCAAGCTCGTCGACGCCAACGGTAATGTCGTCGGCAAGGTGGTTGAGGGTGAACTGAAGGAGCTTATTGGCAAGCGCTCCGATGAGAACGGTGACATCTGGAACGACTCCGGCGAGGTCATTGGTAAGGGTGAGCCCGTCTCCATCTCCGAGCGAGAGGACAAGGCATCCGCTCCCTTCGAGCACTTCCCCGGCGCCACCGTCGAGTCTGACGGCCGTGTCATGTACCAGGGCGAACAGGTTGGTGAGGTCGTCGAGGGTGATCCCAAGCAGCTCAAGGGCAGCGAGGTCGATGAGGATGGTGACATTCTCGACCGCCGTGGCAACACTGTCGGTAAGGCCAAGCGCTGGGAAGCTCCTGAAGCTGAGGAGGAGAAGCCCGTCGACAACTCTGCTCTTGCTGGCAAGCGCGTCAACAAGGCTGGTAACCTCGTCAGCGAGTCTGGCGAGATCTACGGCCGTGTCGTTGAGGGTGATGTCCAGAAGCTTGTCGGACGAATGTCTGACAAGGACGGAAACATCCGAAGTGAGTCTGGCGACATCATTGGCAAGGCCCAGCTCGTCTCTGAGGGCGAGCGCGGTGGTAAGAAGGAGGGCCCCTTCGCTCAGCTCAAGAACTGCACCGTCGGCAAGGATGGCAAGGTCGTCAACGGCGCTGGCGAGGTTGTTGGCAAGCTTGTCATCGGTGATGCTAAGGCTCTTGCTGGACGTGCTGTTGATGATGACGGTGAGATCACCGACTCCAACGGCAATGTCATCGGCAAGGCTGAGCGTTGGGAGGAGCCTGAGAAGGAGCAGAAGCACAACCCTCTCGCTGGCCGAAAGGTGAACCGTGAGGGTAACGTCGTCGACGCTGATGGTAACATCATCGGCAAGCTTACCAGCGGCGAGCTCCTCGACTGTGCTGGCAAGGAGATCGACGAGGATGGCGATGTCTTCAACCAGAAGGGCGCTGTCATCGGCCACGTCTCTCTTCTCGAGGACATCCCCAAGGAGGAGGAGCCAGAGCCCGAGGGTGAGACTGAGGAGGAGAGAATCAAGCGCGAGCAGGCTGAGGCCGATGAGGCCAAGCAGACCGAGGAGGCCGAGAAGAACAAGAAGCTCGCTCAACAACTGGCTTACCAGATTGAGCAGACTCTTGAGAGGCTCCGACCCATCTGCAAGTCTATCAACGACAAGATCAGCGCCGCTGAGGCTCAGAAGCCTGAGGATCGTGATGAGGAGGAACTTGTCCGACAGGTCAAGCCTCTCATCGAGGACGGTGGTAAGATCCTGACTGAGACCAACGGTATCATCCGTGGTCTTGACCCCGATGGCCGTATCGCTCGCAACGCCAAGCAGAAGACTGCTGGTGGTGAGGCCACTCCCGAGGAGGCTCACCTCGCCAACTTGCTCAAGGAGGTTAGTATCGCGTTCCCTTACCCTGAAGCACTCGCTAACAAAGATGGCAGCTCTCTACTGA